TTCTATCGACTGATCGACTGAATGATGATGAGTCAAAGAAATAGCCTTTGTATATTGATATATTCTCATGAACCCATCGACGACATGCACTGTCTCATACTCATTTTTATTTTGCATGCACTGTAAACACATTGTAACGGCATGTATCGTATGCATTTGAGTGTCGTGTCATTGTATCTTTGTATTGAACTTCGAAAAGGCACAGATATATCAATAAGGCTTGCCATTTTGTTTATGTTTCAATGGGTTCTCATGTCTCTCTTTCTCTCTCGGTTTTTGCATATACAAAAGTAAATCATTTTCGCTGCTACTTTTCACAGTCCACAAAACAGTTATTCCAAAGCGATTCCATGACCGAACCAAATACGAATCTGCATGCACTGTATGCATACATTTATTTGGAATATTGCAACTTCAGTAAAGCGGTAAAGATGAAACGGGATCTGTATTTTTTTCCCTCGCGAATGTGTGTATTTTGAAAGAGCATGGAAAAAAACTTGAAGAATATCATCTGAGAGATTGGAGAATGAAATGCACAAATTAAACTCGATATGACGAAAAATGAAGAATGGTTGGACACAATCGAACGAAACGATGCGCGCGTCTGGCACAACCATTGACTTATTATGATTACTATGCAACAGTATGATTTAATTCGCCATTTAAACAAGATATTAAACGAAGTTTTTTTTCATCTTCGCTCTTTTAATTTTCAACGTATGCGCACGCATTCAGTGTGCAACACACAAAGACGCACGAAGAAAATAATAATAATTGTTTTGTGTTTACGCATTGTTTCTGGTTGTGAGCGCAGGCGCATGCTCACATACGCACATTCGGACCATTCTCGGCCGGAGAAAGGAGTGAAAAAAAACGAAATGAAAATTGATGGGCCATCGAAAATCGAGAGAGGAAAAAAATATTCATAAAAATTTAATGAAATTCAATGAATATATTCTGGTGTGGTACGGTTTCATTTATTATTATCGATCGAATTTCTTTTGCTGAAAATTTAGTTATTTAACCCCGACGGGCATATGTTGGCCAGATTTCACAGATATGCGTAAAAATATCGTTTATTAAAATGTTATTATGTGCATAATAATAACTGAGAGAAAAACAAAACAATTTTAACAACCATAAAAACCATATGGACACATTTTGCGGTCGACGAAGTCACCATAAATTTTAAGTTTTAAATGAGTGCAGATCGTATAATACACATTAATTCGAATGTATGATGATTTTGATTCAATAAATTATATTTGTATTAGAGAGTGGACGAACGATAGGGAGAGAGAGAGAAAGAAAACAGAAGGAAAGAAAGAGCGATGCAAAAAGAGACAGAGAAAGAAATGAGGATATTCTTAAAAACTTGTGCGTGTGTTGTATATAATTTCAATTCAGTCTTTCAGGTATTAAGTTGTATTTTGGCTGGTGAATAGGTCGTTAGGTTATATAATGTCTGATAACGGATACTGGAAGCATATATTTCATGCAAAGGTTTGTTGAAGCTTAAAACGGAATTGATATTTTGCGTAATGGCAAACTGCTTTAATGAATAGTGCTTTGGTTAGTTTTTACAAAACAAAAACTTTGTATCGTCTTATCAGCAAAGAAAAAACAACGATTTTTTGTTCTTGTTTCATCCGCCGCAAACAACGATTTTTTCGAAATCAAGACAAATCGAAAACGTTTGGCATACTCTGAATTTCATTTTGGCAGGAAGTTTTAGAGATGCCCTTGCCTTGACATTTTTGTATGTATTTGAAGTAAAATGCTTGGCTTAATGATTTTTTTTAAGTCAAAATCTTATCACAGCAACGCAATGAGCTACTTGTTTCTTTTAATCGTTTGATTATAAGTTGCGAGAATTAATTTCATTTAAATTTCGCACTTGATGTACTCTATAATAAATCAGTCGATGTTTATCTGGGTTTTTGTTTCAATAATATTGCTTGGCAGACATTTATCAATGTGTATGGCTTCATTGAGGACAGTGCATATCATTTTAACTGGTTTTTCTGTAGGATATCGCCACCAAATCGAATTGTTTTGCTTTTTCGATCGCAATGGAATATGTGGATGCTAATTCAAAAGCCACCCATAAACAAACTCTTTAGAAAATCATTTCATTTTGTTGATGTTATAATAACAGCTTTGGAACGATTCATCCGTTTTGAGTTATTAAATCATTTGATGTGTGCGAGCAAAAACTCTCCATTGTTTTTATATGCATTTCTCTATCTTCGTTCTGTATCTCTCTCTATCTCTCTCTGGTTATTGTTTCTTTCATTGGCCCATGGTAGTCAGATGCAGACGCATAGATATGTACGGTGTGCATGCTTAGAGAGTGTAAGAGATTTTTGTTGTCTCTCAGTTTCAGCATGTTTATGTGGTCACGAACCATATTATGTGTGTAGATAAATTTAGACTTTTTATTGACTCTATTCAAGTTCTTATGTTCTTCATATGTGTATGTGTGATCGTTATTAAACAATATTTGCCCACAATCATTCATTTCTTTTCTGTTTTTTATTTCATTCGTGTATGCCTTGATTTTCATTTTCAAATTAGTTTGCATCAGATTCGACCGAATCACCAGCTAGACACTGTGCAATCTTTAGATTTAGATGCTTCAGGCACAATTTATAAGGCGTTACACATACACTCATACACACACATTCACATAATGGCTATATGGTTTTGTGTGTTACAATTATTAAATTCGCCGCTTCGATTGACTTCAAAATACACCAGATGACGAATTTTCGGATTCTTTCTGTGGCATATTCGTCCCGTTTCACGTGTTTTATTTTCTATTTATTCATTTCAATGGAGTTATAAATTACACATTATTTGATGCTAGAATATGATAGTCAATTCAATGAGCGTACGCATTCGCTAAATCGATTATTATCGATCAAAAGACTTACTGTGCTGGCGCGCAAACTGTGTGCGAAAAAGCAATTGAAAAATCGCTTGGTTGTACGAACCACAACACGAATGAGAAGGAAAAAAAACTGCATATTTTATATTGTTGCTATTGTATAGTAGCTGTGGTCAGCGTAAGCATAAAAACAGTTTCCATTATACATTTCATATATTTCACCTAATGGCTATATTTTATACACATATATAAAAAATATATTTACTTTGTTCCTTTTCGTTTAAGCTATTTTATGCATGTGTCGTTCTTTTGCTTTGATATCATTTCTATGGTTCTCGATTTCGAAAGAGAAACGAAATGGAAGAGACAGAAAATGCGGTGGAATTCGTCTTCTTTGGAATGGTCGGTCGATATGTATACATTTAAATGTGCGAAACAAAGATGATCGCGATCCGCACAATGTTTGCTATACATATCAGCAAAAAAATGTAAGAAAAGATCAAAATCATGCGCGCCGCATCAAAAAGTGCAACAAAACAGAATGACCGATAGCAAAAAAAGGCCGTTTCAATGAAAGAGGATGAAAAAACGAGATAGAAATGCAAAAGTTTAAATAGAAGTTCAGACAACACTGTGTGTGTTGCACTTGTTTCTAAACACTGCAATAATCATGTCAATCGTCGTAAGTAAAAGCTATAAAAAGAGTGATGAAATCAATGTTCAAAAATGCATTTCCCCCCCCCCCCCCCCCCCCCCGGGGGAAAAAAGGGCAAAAAAGGTCTCTTCTTGTTGAATAATTTTTGCAGCTTGTCTTTTTCCATAAAAAAAAACGTCTTGTTTCAAACCGATTTCATTTCAATACATTTTTTTTCGATCATTTACATGATTTAGGAATGACAAAGTTTTCAGAACTCTTTATGGTTCACAGTACATTATATATATGCAAAATGTCTATGCAAACGAAATATGAAACGACAAGAATTTCTACTGCATATTCTTTGTAGTGTGTGTATGTTAGTGACTTTGAAGCAAAATTATGGCATACACTTCGCTTTGTACAATGTTCAATTGTTCGTCGATTGCAAAAGAGTGAAATGAAGTGAAAAAAATAAAATAAATTGGCGATGGTGGAAAAATTGTGCCGATTCGATCACGAATATGTTGTTTTGAGCTGGCGCACATAAAACTGGTAACAAATGTTCCGTGTTCTGCTTGAGTGTGATTTTTTTCGGTATCGGTTTTTGTTCTTTCAATTTTACGCGAAGTTCTTGGTCTTTTCGTTATTATTGAATGGCATTTAACAAGTTCACCACGAGCAACAGTCGCGCACACCGCATCCTCTATACACGAAAATGTGTGTCGATTCTTTTCATGGCGCGTATAAACCATGACAAAAAAAAACTATAGAGAAATGCATGAGTTCAACTAGTTATAGCTGGGATACAGCACACAATCGACGCCAATATGCAATTTGGTGTTTTGTGTTGTCTAACAACATTCTCAAACCTTCCACATTTGATGCACTCACCGAAATGTGAATGTGAGCGAGTATATATGTGTGCGCGCGCGGGAGACTCTTTCGAATATTGTTGTTGTCGACAAAATACAGGAAAAGCGTATATGTAAGACGAAAAAAAGCAGACACGATTGTTGTTCCAGTCAATATGCAATGAAAACAGTAGAAGCCACAACAGCACGTGTTGTTAACTAATGTGTGTATATATATAGCGCATATATACAGAACGATGCACTGCGGATTCATCGATCGTATGCATTACGCATTTGCACACATAAAACATGACTTTTCGTCTGATAAATATTGAAATTAGTTTTCCGTACATAAAAACGACATGACATATGCGCAAATTATGTATATATATAACATGCGTTTGCCCAGCACTTCTATCAACCCCAACTGTTTCAGTTGAACCGATTCGAATATGTAAACGATCATTTCTTATCAGAGATAAATCATTGCGAGTAGTCAGTGTGTTGTGTTTCATTGGAATTTATATAAGACTTCCAGTTATATGATGCGGCAACGGCAAAGGCAACGACGTTATTCAGTTCATTCAATCGATTCGTCCGTTGCCACTTGGAAACATTTGATGACTTGTTACGATCAGTTGGCTGTGGACTACCGACGGGATCGGTTGGAAAATTTAGCCCGTGCTCAATAATCGTGGCATTTTTTTAAACATAGAAAAAAGAACTTAGAATTTTTTTCAATTAAAGTGGCTAAAGTTAAAGTGTTTAGCATACAGTTGTTTTTTTGCTAAAAAGGTACTTGAATTAAAATGTGTTTGATTATTTTCGCGATCGCAAATCAAGGGTTTTATGCACTTAAAAAGCCCTGATTATCAAGAAAAATATCAATATGTTATAAATTGTGTTCTGTTTAGAAAACGAAGATATCAACGGCTATTGGATACCATTTTTTACGATTTTTCCTTAGTTTTACACGCTGGGATTAAAGACTTTGGATTTTTCGTAATATCGTTTTAAAGTTTGTTTGTTTGTGCCAGTTGAATTTTTATTGGTGTTTTTTTTATGGACTGTGACTGGGGAACAACTTTCGATTCCATTAAATCTTTTTTTGGATTTTTCGATGATTTTCTGAAGTATCAACGTTTGTGACTATTTTTAGTGTTTTAGTGCTTCTCCAGAATGATCGTTAACAATTTCAAACTATTTTTTGTTATTCATGAATGAAATTGGTTTTACGCCAGAGTTATTCCATTACTTTTTTTTTCGATTTTGGTGATATATTTTCTTTTCTTTGAACCAACGAAAATTCGAAACAAACTCATCGATAATCCATTTTTGTGCAATGATTTTTAGCGATTTATTTTAGTGATTTATCAAAAATGTTTCTATCCAGTTTTGGTGATTCGAAAAATTAAAACAATAACAAAATATTTTCCAGATTGTTCCAGCATAAGTGATCACGATCACAGTGATCAAATCAATTTTGACGAGTTTTTGAACGTTTTGTGAAAAGGCCGTCGACGGCCTGGGGTACAAATCTATCAAACATGGATACCCCAATTTTTAGGTAAGTTTAAAAATGATAAAAAGAAAATGGATAAATCGCAAGTAAAAAAAAATAAAGTGATACGCAAAAAAATGCCATACGTTCGAGTGCCGACAGTAGGAATTGTGAATGACAATGTGTTTGATTTTTTTATTTGAAAAAGACGACTTCGACACATTCAGAATTTTATGGACATTTTGTGAATTGTACAAAAAGAACTTTGCCTCTATAAATTGCAACGTTCGCATGATTCGAGTGAATGAAACAGATTACAAAGTGGTTCATGAAAAAAATTACGTAGAAAAAAGAAATGTGATATTAAAATGACTGCTCATATAATCCTTTTAAAATGTTGAATTTATTTCAATGTAACGCCTGAAACATGTGATTCTAACTGAAATTATCGCATAAATATAAAGTGCTTTCATCGTCAATAATGTTGGCGTAAAATTTCATCCAAATGAAGAAAAAAAAACGGCGTGAACAAACGACTTGATTTTTTTTTTATTTTCAAATAAAAAAGAAAACGCGCGATAAAAAGTGAAAACTAAAAAAACTCGTTTTTTTCTTATTTCAGATTGGCAACTATTTGCCTATTAAGCTCGATTCTGATAATAGAAACACATGCGGTAAATAAATGAATGCTTGAGAATAATAATGAAACTTAATTTTCGTTCAAACTGAAGTGTCCCTTCGAAATATTTCCAATTAAAGTGTCCCAAGTTTATATGGCAAACTATATACAAACTTGGGACACTTTTATTGGAAATATTCCGAAGGGACACTTCAGTTTGAACAAAAATTAAGTTTCATTATTATTCTCAACCATTCAAATGTGAATTTCAAAAAAATCGAGTGAATTTGTGTAAAATCTGTTTTTTTTTTTGTTAATTTTGCAACTGTGAATAGCAATTTTGGAACGATGCTGCTCCGTCAGGTGGTGCTAGACTATGGCCACAACGATATAATGTAGAACCACCAGCTCAACGCATCGATAGCAGTTATGATATTGTTGAAAATCCGAATGCACCAAAGAAGAATTGCACGGCTTCCGGAGGGAATTGTATTCCAAAATGTTTCGCTGAAAAAGGAAATCGCGGTTTTCCAGGCATCCCTGGATTGCCGGGTGCAAAAGGTTAATTAATTCATCAAAATAAATTATTTTGATGCGAAAAGTGATTTTATATGAAATAAATGTGAATGTGATAAAAATTGTATTCTAGTTCGACGATCATTAATGAGTGAGACTACATACTTAAAAAAAACATAAACGTTTCGCAAGAAATATCACTCTTTCTTCATCCGATTCATAATTCCAGTTACTTTTCAAACATCCTCTTTTGATAACAAAAATTCTATGTGATCAAAACGCTTAGTATCCATGTCTGAAGTACATAAATTATGAATGGAGCGAGTTTAAAATGATATTCAGTGTATGATAAAAAAATAATGCTATTCTAACTCATTGATGATCCTCAGTTGTTTCAAAGATTGAAAGTTTTAAGAGTGAATGTTGATTTCAAGTTGAATATTTCGCTGTTCTTGTGTGCGGTATAAATATTAATGATATTTTGTGAAATAGGCATACAAGGTTTTAGCGGCAATGAAGGACTACCAGGCTCTAAAGGTAGCAAGGGTGAATCTGGTTTAACAGGCCCCCGTGGACCAAAAGGTAATTGTCATTTCGAAAAACACTTTGGAGTCTTAAAAAATTGAATTTGTAAACTAACCAACTATTTGTTGATAAAGGTGATCGCGGAAAATCTGGTATTCCAGGCTTTCCAGGTATGTATTTAATAGCACACACGCACACAAATATTTTGATCGAATTAATTGTACGAAATATTATTGCTTTTAAGGTATCGGTGGTTTGCCCGGAATCATGGGTAATCCCGGAGCGCCGGGAATTCCTGGTGTCGATGGTTGTAATGGTACCGACGGTAAGTTCAATTTTGTTGCATGCTTCTAAAAGAGAATTCATAGATGTCATGCCATTTTCAAAATATCAAAATAATCGTTTCTTTTTTTGTATTAATTTTTTGTGAATAGGTTTACCGGGTATTGCTGGTTTAAATGGTGTTCCCGGCCCACGCGGATTCCCTGGTGTTGAGGGTGGCAAAGGAGAAAAAGGTATGAAATAAAAATATCAACAATCAAATAAACAATTTTTTAATCTCTATTGTTGCAATTAATATTTTAGGTGAACCGGCCGCATATCCCGATAACTACTTGAAAGGACAAAAGGGAGAGCAAGGATATGACGGAATACCAGGTTCAATCGGATTGAGTGGTGAGGCAGGACCAAGAGGACCACCCGGAAATGATGGACCACGCGGTTATACAGGACCAAAAGGTTTGTAAACACATTTATGCATTTAGAGTGTTAAAGTAATTACTCAAAACATTCGATATTTCAAATAAACCGTTATACGTTTTTTTCAATAGGTGATACCGGTCCAAAAGGGACACCAGGCTTATCATGTAAGTATAATCTTTAACTCATTTTAAATGTTAATATATTTGAGCAAATAAACAAACTCATTATAAAATAGGTGTACACAATACTGGCCCAATAGGACCAGTAGGCGAAAAGGGTGATAAAGGAGAACGAGGAGTATCTGGAGTTCATTCATCATTAGGAGTACGAGAATCCACAACAGTTGGTCCAAGAGGTAAAATTAGCATTATTAAAACCAGGCGAAAACAGAAGTAGTCAAATTAATGAAACTTTCTCTTTGAAATATTTTAGGCGAACGTGGTGACATCGGTGAAAAAGGTGACATTGGTCTTAAAGGTGATGCCGGTGAATATGGAGAAAAAGGATCGGTTGGTGATCTTGGTTACAAAGGAGAAAAAGGTCTTCCTGGTCAACCCGGTCCAAGAGTAAGTGAACACTATTCCATATAAATGTAAAATTTTGTTTAATAACTTTGAATGCAACTTCTGAGTTGCTAAATTTATGCTGCACAATTTGCATTTGATGTTGGTCGTTTCAGTTTGGATATTTTATTTGTAGGCCGATTAGGGGTTGATCACCAATATTGTCAAGAGGTGGCAACATAAAATTTTATCGTGCGGATTATTTATTATAAATACATTACACTTCTTCGGAAGTTATAATACGAGCGTATCAAAAAATATATTTTGCTTCCATCTTTTTGAAATAATAAAATTAGTCTGTCGCAATTTTACTTGAAACTTTTTCTTTTGAAGTTTGCCAAATGTTTAAATGTGTTTTTCAAAAATTTACAGGGTCGTGATGGAAACTATGGACCACCAGGTTTACCCGGCCAAAAAGGAGATCGTGGTATCGAAGGTTTGAGAGGATTGGATGGAAAACCAGGTAATTTACACTCAAAAGAGTACACTGCAACTAATTTACTTGAATTATTGTAATACATATTGAACAAGTGCTAATGACATCGTGATCTTCATTTGATTAGGTTTAAAGGGAGAGCCCGGAAGATCAGGTTAGTTTTAAAGGAGATTAAAGAAACAAAAAGCTACCTTTCATATGAAAATTCAAGAGAAATATTTAACTCATTTCTTTAAAACTGCATTTATTAGGTTTCCCTGGATCTTCCGGATTACCAGGACCACCAGGTGAGTAATCATAAGAATCGACCCGAGTAGCAAAATCCGTAAAAATTCTCGATTTACAACGAAACTTTCTTACAAAACGGCGACTTTGTAACAACATTATTTCATTGCAGAATGTTTGGTTATTATAACATGACATTACATTACAGTTCAGTGATTATTGCGATGTTGTAACTTTTGTTCATCAATTTGAAACTTTTAAATCGCAAAATACACAAATGTAACATGAATGATACTTCCGTTATATTTGTGATACTTCCTTTTCACAAATTTTTCGATTTTGGCGGGCACGTGAGTTTGTTTTGAGGAAGAATAGCGATATTTATCAATGAAATGGTATTCTGAAAACACGCATAGTCTGAAAATTGTTTACTTTTACGCGTAAGATTTTGTTGGGTTTTTGTCCGAACTAGGGGGTAGACACGAATTATAAAACTTTGAATCATGTGAATCACAGTGAATAAAATGAATCATTCAAATGTCAAATAAGCATCACTTTTGGTTTTACTAACATGATCGTTCAACAAATTCTAAATATTATTTTTTCATCTATTTCGTGTTTTTCTAGTAAATTCCAAATAAAATCAACCATAATGAGATAATACATTTAAAAAAACGTCAAGAAATCATTTTTTCGAAGACAAATAATTTTAATTGTTCAATAAATATTTCTTGTATGACACATAAATGACATTTCAAATGTCATCTAAACAATGTGAATCTTTTGAATCACAGTGAATCAAATGAATCATGTCTACCCCCTAGTGTCCGAATAATCTCGAATGAGACGAAACGATGACCTTTTGAAAACTTTTTTTTTTCCAATCTACTTGTTACGAATTTTGACAGATAATTCACATTTTGGTTGCAATTACTGAATTATAACAAAATTTTGCTACTCGTGGATTATATTAATTGATTTTTAACCAGTGATGGTTTTTTCCTATCTGAATAGCGCTAGCTATTCGCAGCGTCTGAACAGCATTGCTGCCCAGATGCTGAATCGAAGCGGTTGCCGCACGCGTTTTGTACCACACAACATATTGTCATATAGTCTAAGTAACCAGTGAGCTCACAGAGTATGATACACTAATACCATAGTCAGTACACTGACAAAACTAAGGTTATGATTTTGACAACACCGTGTTGTAAATGCTTACATTCCAACGAATGTTGTGAAGTAGCCAACAATTGTTGTCATTGTGAATACGTACAATGGCATATATTATATGTATTCACAACGACAACAATTGTTGGCTACTTCACAACATTTGTTGGAATGTAAGCATTTACAACACGGAGTTGTCAAAATCATAACCTTAGTTTTGTCAGTGTATACAAACGCATGTCGAACAGAGAATGAACGCGAACGTATATGCTCTGTGTGGTACAAACGAAGTGTGTTGCGCGTGCGGCAACCGCTACGATTCAGCATCTGGACAGCAATGCTGTACAGGCGCTGCGAATAGCTAGCGCTATTCAGATAGGAAAAAACCATCACTGTTTTTAACACCACTCAATCACCGCTTTCATATTTTGTGAAATAAAAAATATTTATCAACTAAATCGATGTGTGACAAAATATTGATTTTTCGCTTTGTTTCAGGTCCACCGGGTGGTGGTAAAGGAACCCCAGGTGCACCAGGACCACAAGGACCGCGTGGTATGTACACTGAACAAATCAAATAATAAAAATAAAAACATATGTTTATTAACAACTGTACTCAATCCAAATTTATTTCAAATAATTAATTTTATGTAATAGGTTATCGCGGCTTGCCCGGTCCGAAAGGATTAGATGGTTTTCCTGGCGAAAAAGGAGAACGAGGTGCTCCCGGAAATAAAGGAGGTCTCGGTATTCCAGGGTAAATATCATACAAAATAAGGAACTTTTTTTTCATAAACTATAATATTTCTACTTTTGTAGACGTCCCGGTGCAGAAGGATTCCCCGGTGATAAAGGAGACAAAGGAAATAGTGGAGCTATTGGTCTTCCAGGACCAATAGGTCCTCGAGGTGTGCATCGTTCAAGCTTAAAATATTTTAATACAACACTTTTATGAATACTAACACAATTTTACACATCTTAAATAGGCGCAACCGGTGCTCCAGGTCCAGAAGGTCAAAGAGGAGAGCAAGGAACACCAGGATTTGGTATACCAGGTGAAAGAGGAGATGACGGTATTCCAGGGTGAGTTTTCATTTAAATAAAATGATAAAATGTCAAAGTTTTTTGTTTGTTTTTCGTTGTATTGAATTCTACTAAATAACTTATGCTTGTTTATAGTTTTCGAACATTCTTGCGCATCATAATAATATCAATTTATACACTTACAGATATCCAGGTTTGAAAGGACAAAAAGGAGAACGTGGTTTTAAAGGAAATGCTGGAGTTCCAGGTGACTCAAGAGATGGTAGACCAGGTCAGTGAGCAACACAACTAATAAAATAATTGGCTTTTCAATTATGAATAATATCCGATAGAATTTTACGCGACGTTGGACAAAAATAATTTTTTCATTTGAATTTTATCCTATGCTTAAGATGAATTTCATTCAATGTTTTTTATTTGTATTCTTATTCAACGACTCAAATCATAATCTAATCTGACTGAGAATTTTGATAAAGAAAACTTCAATAATTAAATCAGGGTGAGAGTGGTAAAAAGAAACACAATACTTTCACTCGCGCACGCTCGTTCGTTCGTTCCTATGAATTTTACCCGACATTGTAAATTGAACTTTGTCCGACGTCGGCTAAAATTCAATCGAATTTTGTTCAGTCCCCCTTTTCAACTATTCAAATGGAAATAATCATGATATTCCAAACTTATAATTTATTACAAAGGTGTTCCCGGACGGCCAGGTATAACTGGAGAGAAGGGAGAAGCAGGACGTCCAGGATTGCCGGGCTCAAAAGGAGACTTAGGAGAAAAAGGTATCATTATTGATTGAAGAAAAACTTCTGTCTTTGTATAAAAATAACGATTGGAGAGTATTTCATTTTTTGTCTGTGTTTGGCAAACCAATTCAACCAAACTATATACTCTCCTATCGTCCTATTTAAAAGATGTTTTTGTTGATGTATTCATTGAAATAAAACAGAAATAATTTTTGTGAATTATTTTTTTCTTCTGTCGACTAGGTGACATTGGTGGACGTTGTTCTGATTGCAGACCTGGATTCAAAGGCGATAAAGGTGAACGGGGATTTGATGGTATTCCCGGAGCTACAGGTAAGTTTGAACCGATTAGAAATCCTAAGGAGAAATGCTCCTTATTTTTGACATTTTCCATTGCATTTCGTTTGAAGGACCCCCTGGAGTTCACGGCGAAAGAGGCTATCCTGGTGAAGTCGGAGCTGATGGCTTGCCTGGATTACAAGGAGTTCCTGGTGCACCTGGTCTTGACGGTAAGTGTTACAGAAGAAGAAAGAGTCCAAAATATTACACCGAAAGAAAATCTTTCAAATTCAAATTGAATCAGATTATTCTACTTCAAAAATATTGGATTGGAGGCACAAAAAATCCATTCTTGATATTTTATTAATATTTCACATAAAAAAGTATCAAAAAAGTTTCCTCACCTCATGAGGGTTGATCTTTATAACATTTATTGAAAATCAATTCGGATTTTGGATCGAATCTCTAATATTAGCCGATTGCAAAATGTATGATAAAGATTCGAACATTTGGATTTACACAATAAGATTTTTATACGATTTTTTTGAATTTTTTTGTATATACTGAAATAAAACACATTTATGAAATTTTATAATGAATAAAAAGTTCTTATATTTAATCATATTCTATGGCAAATTAAAGTCTCAAAAATATTTTTTTTCAATTATTATTAGGTACTCCTGGTAGACCAGGTCCTGAAGGACCACGAGGTGAAGACGCTATTCTGTCCTGGGACTTATTGAAAACTGAAAAAGGAGACAAAGGTGAACGTGGACCAATGGGACGTGTTGGACCAAAAGGTATGTGAATCTTCACATTGATTGTATATACAATAAAGCTTGCAACGTTTCATACAAATACATGTTTGCGCGTGCGTCTTATAATATACAGTTGCCTGTGTTTTATGAGACGCACGCTAAAGTGTGTATTGAATACAGTACATCGCCAATTGCGATGAGTTGCTGCATCTGCGTCTATACTTAGTACAGATAGCAAGTATAGATTTAGATGCAAACTAGTCCCTGATTTGAATTTAAAAAAAAAAATAAAATATTCCTACGGAAGTATTGACTTTGGTCGATAATCAATTAAGTCTAAATCAAAGTGAATATTAATCTGTTCAACCACATCTTGATCAATAAACAATTTTAAAATATCGCAGGAAATGATGGAGCAAGAGGACCGAGCGGATTTCCAGGCATCGCAGGTATAATTAATTTTTTTTACTTTGAATGACTTCTATTTCTAATCGTAATTTCTTCTCAAAGGTTTCCCTGGCACAAAAGGTGATCAAGGTCGTCCTGGTGCACCAGGCTTGGATGGAGCTCCTGGTCGTTCAGGCATTCCGGGGATTCCTGGCGAAAAAGGATTCAGCACTAAAGGTAAAATGAAACCATTTCAAGTGATATTTTCCACATTAAACTATATTGAACGGAATCTAAATCATCAAAGGTGAACCCGGTTGGAGTGGTTTACCCGGTGACAAAGGAGACAGAGGAGAAAGAGGACGTGATGGTGCCAAAGGAGATCCTGCTCACTGTCCACAAAATCTAAAGGAAGGATTCAAAGGTACAATTTCATTGCTTCCAAATTTTGAATGATATTCGATTTTTAAACAATAAATTTTCTATAGGACTCAAAGGAGATAAAGGAGCAAAAGGAGAAGCTGGCTCACAAGGTGTTGAAGGTGAGTAAATAACTTATCAAAAATAGTCCATTATCAGTTTAAAGTCGATGCTCAGTCTCTATAACCATCAATCCTCTGCGAAATGAAGAGTTTCGTAACTTTTTGAAATAAATTGAAAACACAATGACAACATGAGATTGTGCTTTCGTTTTTTGTGTGGTCCAAACGCTTTGATTCCAACAAAAAGAAAGCACAACAAAACTCTCTATTTCTTCATAGTGTGATGTGGTAATGAGAGTACTACAAGCATTACTGAACATAGAGAATGTTGAATCTGTTCGACACATCTGGCGCGTTAATTGATAGTTTTTGTTTTTATTGTTCAGTCTTTCTCGAATGTTCAAACGACACTCTATCAAATCCCGAAAAATGATTAAAACTGAGTGAACCACCTCCATATTAATCTTAACATTGTAGCATCTGTTGTAAAGAAAGGATTAAATGTTAAATTCATCACGATCATAGCTCGAATAAACATTTTGAAAAAAAAATCAGAAAAAAATAATTTTGAAATCATCTTCATTTCAACACTGAATAGGTGAGCGCGGTGAATACGGTGACACTGGCGTACCTGGACAGAAAGGAGAATTGGGATCACCCGGTTTGCCAGGCCCAGTTGGACCAAGAGGTTTGCAAGGACAACGAGGAGAAAAAGGTGATTTGAATAATACAAAAAATATAAAAATTCAGCTTTTGTTCGCTTGAATTACTCTTCTCGAGTAATTTGTTTATGATTTTTGAATACTGATTTCTAATTTTAATTTAAAAAAAAATAGGAAATGAGGGACCAATTGGTTTCCCCGGAACACCTGGAAAAGATGGTAAATATAGCCGTTCATACATTTTATTTGGAATATTTGTAAACATATTTTTCTTGTGATTTTTAAAGGTTTGAGAGGTATACCAGGACGTCCAGGAGATAAAGGATTTAAAGGTGAACAAGGTCTTTCAATGGTTGGACCAATGGGACCAAAAGGTACGAAGAATTAATATAGTGTTATCGGTAAACATTATTTGCACTAACTAAATCTTATGTATGCGATTAAATAAATAGGTAGCATTGGTTTCCGTGGAGCTAAGGGCGAACGTGGTATTCCAGGCGAAAGAGGTTTAGATGGTCTACCAGGAGAAGTTGGATATCCCGGTGCTAAAGGAGACACAGGTACGTAAAACTAAAAGACATACATCATTATTCGATCCAAACTTTTTACAAAAATGTGTTGAACCTTTTTTTATTGAACAAATCTTTGTCAAATAAACCGTTAAATATGGATAGAAAATATATTTGCTACGATTTATTAAATACGGCTATGTCCAATTTGAATTTGCTTTTGTAAAATGTACAAAACGGTTGTGTATTCTACAACGTGTTCATTATGCTTACAAATATAATTTGTATTTGAGGTACAAAGATTGCGTAAGATATATATATTCGTGTATTTTATAAAAGGTACATTATCTGATTATCTTGCAACGTCATTTTATGAACAATATTTGTAAAATTTTCAAATTAATAAACCATTTTTGTACAATATACCAACTAAATGTCTCAGCACACATAACCGATTTGTTTTCAATGTGATTGTAGGATTGTCTGGAGCGCCAGGATTGCCAGGCTACTCTGGTCAAAAAGGTGACACTGGACCAAAAGGACCTCAAGGTAAAAGGAAATTCATGTTTATTCATTTAAAAATGTTCGCATACATCTAAACTATTGTTTGATGATATTCGTCCATGTGTAATAATTACATTGTAACTTTAGCTACTAATAGAAATGAAATAAATTATTCAATTTATCATAGGTATGTCGGGACCGCCTGGCAGACCCGGTATTGATGGAATAAGGTAATGATTGAATAATTCAAATATAAAAAAAAAACTATTTTAATTGAAAAACGTTTTTTTGTCTTGTTAAAATTACTTAGAGGACAACCTGGATTGAAAGGAGAGCCCGGTATGATAAACACATATTTTATTTTTCAAACAATTTACTGATGCATCGCATTTGTCTTATTTTGTTATTATAGGTGACCTCGGTATAATTGGTATGCCAGGCAAAAAAGGTAAATTATTAATAGAGTGTGTGAAAAAAGAAATAGTTTAATTGGTTGAGCTTTTCAATTTTAAAACAATTCACGTGTCATCAAATTCATGATATAAACTCAAGCAATTATGGAAATCAAGTTTATGGCGTGAAAACTGACTTAAACGTAAATCTTGTTAATTTGAATAAAAAACTGGTGAACAGTTCTTATGAACCTTTTTTTTTATTCATATCAATTTTGTAAACAAACTCAAAATTAACAAACAAAATGTATTAAATGCACCAAAGTTGGCAAGAAGAAGTTCTAATTTCCACATTTTTCAATTAATTTTAGGTGATCGCGGTTTTCCTGGACCTGATTGCGTTAAAGGTATTCAAGGTCCAAAAGGAGTGCCTGGCTTGAGAGGTGAACCAGGTAAATATAAAGATTAAAAATGCGCTCTGTTTCAAACGAAAATAGAGTTGAAAACATATGAAGAGGTTCCATTCAATGTGTGCGCCGATAAATTCATATTTTTCTTTTCAATTAAATTTATTAGGTATGCAAGGTTTTCAAGGATTAAAAGGACAAAAGGGAGAACTTGGATTGCCCGGCCCAGATGGACCACAAGGTCTTCAAGGTATGTTTTTGAATAAAAATGAAATGTTGTAATAATGAAACTAATGCTTGAATTTGTTTTTTTAACTAATAGGACCACCGGGTTTGATTGGCCCAGTTGGTTTGAAAGGAAATCATGGACCCATCGGCTTCCCCGGATTAGATGGCATTCCCGGACGAGATGGTGAAAAGGGAGATAGTGGTTTTCCAGGTAATATTATCGCTGCGATTTTAACAAATCAAAATATTTCAAACTTAACTGATTGGATGAAATACAAAAACATTTATCACATTCTGTGTGGTTGCTTAGGTCCTATCGGTCCAAAAGGAGAACCTGGAAGCGTTTCAGAAAAAGGTATGACTAAATGGAACCCTATTTGGATATATATTTGGAAGCAAACAAAATACTAATTATCAATTGTATGTATAGGTCAAAAAGGAGAGCACGGAGTACCTGGATTAAGAGGCGAAGATGGTCTTGATGGATTACCAGGTCCAATTGGAGAAAAAGGAGACGCCGGTATACCCGGATATGGTAGAGCAGGTCCAGTTGGTAAGTATTTTCTTTACAATCATTTATCAAAACATTTTTTTTCACCGAATTATTTATATGTTATACTCGACCACAACACAAAAAATGTGATGAAATAAAATGTGCTATATTATTCGCATTTTGAGGGTTTGTATGTGTTTTTGGACAGCATGCTATCAACACACACCATTCGCAAAATGTTTTTCAAAAAGCACATTTCATTTTTAAGTATCGTTTCTTTTAGTCACAAAATCAAATTCTTTGACTCAACATTTGATTTTTCTTACCTCTTTGTGTTGTGAAAGTTCGGAGATGTGTTTGATCATAAGAATAAGAGTTTTGATCACTTTTGATAGCAATAATATTTTCTCATACAACTAGAATACTTATGAAATCAGTTTGATAAAAAGCATAAAATTTAATTGTCATGTTTGATTAAAGGTCAAAAGGGAGAACCAGGGGTCGATGGAAAAGACGGTGCACCAGGCTTGCAAGGAATTAAAGGTGATCGCGGTCCAATTGGATTGAGAGGTTTGAAGGGAGACAAAGGAGCTCTTGGTCGGCCCGGCATTCCCGGCTCACCAGGTAAGTTATACTTCCAAATCACAAACCTATAATTTTCATTCGGAGTATATTCAGTTTAAATTCAATGAAAATAAAACAGCCAAAAAAACAGGTTGGTCTTGCTAAAAATGAATTTATTCACAAAATCAAACAATGATGACATTGGTATATTTATTTATTGTAACAAATTTTTGCCGACCCTTTGCAATTTCAAAAACAAATTCATCAGCACAAAACTTGTAATAACATCAAATTAAAAATGAAATTCATATTACACGAAAAATGACAATTTGAAACTTGAACTTGATCTTGTTGTTGTTGAATTTTTTTTTTTTAAAAAGCCATATTTTTGGAATGTGCTTTTTTTTTGTTCTGTTCCTTCGCCAAGCGGTTTTTCACATTTTTTGAAGAAAATTCCGATTTTTTGCTCTTTTCACCATCGTCACATCGATTCATTGCTTGTATTAGATCTTTAACTCTATCAATGGTCAATGTTTCAGAGCCACTCAAAAAACCATACATGAATAGTTTTTGGTAACGTTCATGAGTTAAACCAGCCAGCATCAAATGTGCCAGCATTTCTTCATCAATTTTCATTCCAGCATTTTTGCATTTCAACGACGAATCGAGCATTTTTTCAATATAGTCATCGGTCGACTCACATTCAGCCAATTTTAATGAAATCAGTCGCTTTACTGAAGTTGTTTTGCAGCCAATACTCGTGTCTGAGAACGTCTTTATAATGGTATCCCAAGCTTGTTTCGGAGTTTTAGCTGCTGCGACGTAACTGTAGCAAGATGGATCTAACAGCAATATTATTTCAGCCAAGGCTTTTTTGAAATTTTCTCTTGCGTCTGCATCAGTGTTTTCATTTGGATCTTCCTTTGTCAGCGACCAATAATTTTTTATAATCAAATACGCTTTTGCGGACACCAACCAAGTCGTAAAATTTTCACGACCTTTCAATTTCGGAAAGTCTGGAAATTGGTCTGACATTTTGATAATATAGTTTTCAATGAAATTATTCAAAGAAAATCACTTGAATTTAAAATCACAAGAATTCACAACGATTTAATCGCAACCGGATCGTTTGGCTCTCAACACACGAATGAATTTACTGTATGAACTGAATTTCGAATGAAACATATATGCATTTATTTTTCTGCTGTTTTTGATTTCAACTATATTTAGCTGCATCAACACAATTCCATTTTTCTGCGAAACTGTGTTTTTTTCTCTTTATTATCGAAGTTGCTTAGTTCGCATTTAAGCTGTTTAATGTGCTACTTATCAGCGTTATTTCATTTACACTTTTATTCGTTTTGAAATTGGAGTATGAATTTATGCGACTGTTGTTTCGTAAAAATGTATAGGTATGGATGGATTACAAGGTGAAATCGGTCCACAAGGTCCAAGAGGTTACGATGGATTGCCCGGAATGAAAGGAGATCGAGGATCGCCTGGTTATGAAGGACTTAAGGGTGACAAAGGAGACCAAGGAAGAACAGGTCTAAGAGGTATGTGCACGCCACTGATTTTTAATCATTAAATTTAATTAAAGCTTACATTTACGATTCGCAAGCGAACCTTAACTGATAAAATGACTATGAATAATGGAATTGGCCATGTGAAATTAAAGAATGATTGTTATTCACAATTGTTGAAGTTACGAAAACAAGCATTACAGTAACACTTACCTTAGTAGCAAATTGAAATACACAAATTATTAATTCATTTATGCGCGTAGAGCGTGACATATTGGAAAGATTATTCATACTCGTAACAATACTGAATACTAAACGACTACGATACTTAGATTGTATTGATATATATTATTTCTGTTTTATATAAATGCATTCTTTTGCAATTTAAGGTTTGTCCGGTTTGAAGGGAGATCGCGGTTTACCGGGATCGCCAGGAGAAGTCGGACAATTGGTTCAGATCAAGGGTATTCAAGGACAAAAAGGAGAACAAGGTTTAACTGGCTTAACAGGTTTGAATGGAGAAAAAGGTGATCGTGGTGCACCAGGGTTCGATGGATTGCAAGGAGAAAGAGGGGAACCAGGTAATTTATGAGAGTTTAATCTAAAATTGTACAAGCGATTGCAATTTTCAGATAAAATGCTTTCTTTTATTTCAAATTGTAAAATTTGTCCAATATATTTGAAGGTATTAATAATATTTGTTGATTTATTTAAATAGGTCCACCGGGTCCTCGTGGTTTAGATGGTTTCCCAGGTCAAAAAGGAGATCGTGGACTACCTGGCGATGTAGGTGAAATTGGACCAGTCGTGAAAGGAGAAAAAGGTGAGTTTTTGTAGAAAGAAGAACAAAAGTTGAAAACGCGGAAAATAATGAATACAAGTCAGTCAGAAGTCAATGTTTACCATAAAAACACGATTTCTTGAATGAAATTATATTCAGAAGGAAAAGCCTATGAAATAAAGTTAATTGTACTTGGTGCAACATCATAAGTATTGTCTCAAATTATAATGACAGCTTTCTATCGATTTCATTTGATTTTCATATAAAAAATTCCAAACTAAATGCCAACTTAATGTTTGAAAATAAATGCCATAATATTTTTGTAGATAAATGGCTGGATTTTTGCTATTTCGATAAGCACAAGTCTTATTTTACTTAAGCAGAAACAAAAACCTTTGAATGAATTCATATTTTTCTTTTACTAATTGAATTTTCTAATGCGAATTTAACTTTGATCAAAAGGTTTGCCTGGTTTGCATGGAAAACATGGCCGCGAAGGACCAATTGGTTTGTCAGGACCAAAAGGTGATAAAGGATTATCGGGATTGCCTGGACCACAAGGTAAATAATAATTTAACATATTTGAAATTCTATAACTGTTTTGCATATGATTCTACTGATATATACTAACTAATTTTGGTTAAATCGAAATTGCTAATGAACATTTTTATTCCCATTTCAAAAGGTCTTAGAGGTCTTCCGGGCCCAATTGGATTAAGAGGAGAAAAGGGAGATCGTGGTTTGTCTGGAGCACCAGGTTTGTTTTGAATCAACTAATTTACCTCTTGTAAACGCTTATAATAATAAAAATCGTTGAAATCTTGCATTTCTTTAGGTTCAAATGGATTTGATGGTCGACCGGGAGCACCGGGCCCAGTTGGTGAACGCGGTTTTACTGGAGAAAAAGGAGACATTGGTTTCCCTGGACTGCCTGGTAAATAATGGCAATTTATTTTGCAATCAGCAGTTCTGCTTTGAAAAATCGATGCTGGTGAAAGAGATGGTGTTGTGTAGTACATTAAATTATATGTAAATTTGTCCATCAAATTTTGAAGGTCAACCCGGTGAGAAAGGAGATAGAGGACATCCGGGCGCACCTGGATTGGGTGGACTCCCTGGTAGTAAAGGAGATATTGGTTTACCGGGAGTCGAGGGACGAGTTGGAGATCAAGGTCAGTGTACTATATTTCCAATGCAAATCGAATCGATTTTTTCGTTATGAAAATATTTTGTTGACTAACAGTCGAGCTAAATGAAAAAAGTTTCTTCACCAACTAATACTCATTTTGGGCAGAAAAAAATTAGCAAGAGAAACAAAGTTGTTCGAAAATGACAAATGTATCTGATTTTTTTCAGAGTTAATAGCATACCAAATACAAGCAAGTCATTTCAATAAATCAATTTCGTCTATTTTATATAGGTTTTCCTGGAGAAAAAGGTTTGCCAGGCCCAAGAGGTCGTGATGGTCGTGATGGTTTACTTGGTTTTAAAGGAGACAAAGGAGAACCTGGATTGATTTCACCACCTGGTCCACCGGGTAATATTTTTCAATTTCAATAGATTTGGACAATTGAAAATATTATATGCCATTTTGTTTATCGTTTTATCGATAGGCACTCCGGGATTAAATGGAAGAGATGGACAAAAGGGAGACCGCGGATTTCCAGGCCAAAAAGGAGACGAGGGACCAATTGGTATTTATTTTCTTCTTTTATTTACTATAAACACATTTTAATGCGGTATTTCTTTTGAAGGTATTCGTGGTGAGCCCGGATTGCCAGGCTTGCAAGGACCACGAGGACCGCCCGGAGCACCAGGCTTCAGAGGTATAATTGCACAAAGCATAAAATGGAAAAACAAATGAATTTTATTTTGAATGCAATGTTTTTTTAGGTGAAATTGGTTTGGTTGGAGCACCAGGTTTTGATGGACGCCCAGGATCGATTGGACCCAAAGGGGATGCCGGTCGCGATTGTTCACACTCACCAGATTACTATAGTGGTATTTTATTGGTTAAGCACAGTCAAAGCACCGAAGTTCCACGCTGTGATGATGGACAAACTCAATTATGGGACGGTTATTCATTGTTATATGTTGATGGCAATGATTATGCACACAATCAAGATTTAGGATCGCCTGGTTCATGTGTACGACGATTCTCAACATTGCCCGCATTATCATGTGGTGTAAACAATGTATGTAATTATGCATCACGTAATGATCGATCATTCTGGTTGTCAACTACAGCACCAATTCCAATGATGCCAGTCATCGAACAAGAAATGGAAAAATACATTTCACGTTGTGTTGTTTGCGAAATTCCACAAAATGTCATCACACTTCACAGTCAAACGATTCAAGTTCCAGACTGTCCATACGGTTGGGAAGGCCTATGGCAAGGTTACAGTTTCCTTATGGTGAGCTATCCGCTTTTTTGTTTAACTTTTCAAACATTTATATAAAACTTTTCTCAATTCTATTCGTATTCTTACAGCACACTGCCGTTGCAAATGGTGGTGGTGGTCAAGCGCTATCAGGAACTGGATCATGTCTGCAAGATTTCCGTACCAATCCGTTCATCGAATGTAACGGTGGAAAGGGACATTGTCATTTCTATGAAACAATGACCAGTTTCTGGTTGGTTACACTAGACTCAACTGCACAATTTACAAAGCCATTGCAAGAAACTATCAAATCTGGTAGCTTCTATTCCAGATTGTCCAGATGTCAAGTCTGCATAAAGAAATAGAAAATGCGGCTTTTAAATTTGAAGAAAAAACGAAATTTATTTTAGAAATTCAACTTTTTTTGTTGTTGTTTTATACGATTAAAACAATCTACCTACAGAATGAGCCAAAAATTAAACAGTTTTCTATAAAATAGATGTCGTATTTCCAATTTTTCCCCCCGCTTATGAAATAAAAGAAGAACGAAATGTTTGTCAATGTAAAATTTATTTGATTAGCAATATAGAATAGAGAAATGAACAAAGAGTTGAAAATGAAAATCATTCAGCTCTAAATAGCTCAAAAGTACCCAACTAACACACACACACACACACATACACACACTTTATATATACATAAAGAAACCGTAATAGAAACAGTGACAGAATTAACGTTTATGTGATAGTTCTATCTGTAAATTAAAACGAACGGAAAGGATAAATATATATGTAATATATTTCCATTAGATAAAAACCAATTACAACTCCTTTGTTTACGTGTGTGTCATGAATTCAACGAACAATGATTTGTATTCAATTACAACGTCTTTTTTCAATGTTTCAATCAATGTGAAAACAAATCCAAAATTTGATTCCGTATTTGAAAAAAAAAACGAAAAAAATTTGAATGCAAATTTTTATATAGTTACAAATCAAATGAAAACTGCCAAATACTAATCTTCTTAATGTATAGACTTAAGAGATAAAAATTGATAAATTTTTTTTGTACAAATACAATACAACTTTAAAACAAAATCTTTCAAATTTTTTATTCGTCTGTTTAATGTTCATATTCTGCTGCCGAATTGGAGGTTAGTTACTGTTTGATTACTTGTATTTAAAATCGAGAATCTTTCGAGTACTCAAAATATTTTTCACATCTTTTCAGTGTATAGATTGTAGGCAGCTATAGCAGTGCTACTTTCGCAGCCTCCTATTCATAGGCTCTATTTGCGAACAACGCATACGGACGAAGATTTTATTATACAATTCCGAACGAATGTCGATTTGTTCTACATTTCGAACATTTCGTTCGGAATTGTATCATAAAGCCACTGCCGTAAAGGCGGCACCACACACTTGATAATCATAATGATGATATTAATGTATTAATTCGAACTATGATGTGTAGCTAAGACATACAATTTACCGATAGCGATTTTCAAAGGAATTCTTCGGGAAAAATTAAAATAATCATAAAATGCGCCATTCATTATTTTGAATTCGACCTATACGAATAAGCAAGTTCATTAAATGTACGTGACTTAATAAAAATACAAGTTATAAATTAGTTATTATACCGCCAGTTTATTGACATCCAGATAAGCTCGTGAATAGATTAACCCATTAAGTTGAGCCCGATAGAAAAACTGACAAAGCTCTTAAACGAGTATCTTTATGATCACATAAACAATGTTCTCAGAACGGTTAAGTGCCTATCGAAATTTACTCATTAAGATAAATGTGCATCAACAACCCGTATGCAAAAATTTAAAAAATCTATCGATATTTTGATTTTTTTCAGGTACAATCATTACTAATTCGTCATATGCAAGACTCGTATCGCGAGTAATGATAATGTAATTTAATACATTTGGTACGAACGGTAAAATATGAACAAAAAATTTCAAAATCGACTACACTCATGACTACACTAGGGAATTTTATTAAGGTTTGCTAATCCCTATTGCAGACAGATTAGATGTACAGCCCGAAGAATTTCTTAATCATTCATTTGGAGACATCACAATCAAAATGTTGCCCAGAGGCTTCCACATCCATTTACAATTTTTTAGTACAATATTTGGTATGTATATTCGCGCCAGGGTAATCGCGGTAGAATTGAAAGAAAACAAAGAAAAATACCTAATCAATTGAATGATATCTATAGGAAATTTACTGAATTTAACGTATGGATTGACAATAGGCTGGATTTGTATTTACGGAAATAAATTTCACACGGATTCAAATCCACTGCAAGTGCCATCACTCAATTCGATTGAATTAAAATGGATCGATTTATCACTTTATATTGGCGCTTTGATTGGAACTGTATTTCTAACAATAGCCGGTGACGTATTTGGAAGAAAATATACACTAGTCGTTTTAATTGTTCCCCAAGCGGTAATTTTTTATTTTATATCGTCCATACAAGTGATTATTATTTAATTTATTACGACAAATTAATCAAAATTGTCTGTTTTCATTGGTGATTAAAAAATAGTCTGCCTTTTTGCTAAAAATGCTCGCAACAAATGCAACTGAATTGTACATCGGACGATTTTTATCCGGTTTTACAGCAGGAGGTTCAATCAATTTGATAGTTTTATATGTTGCTGAATTGGCCGATGACAAGTGTGCACATTTTTATTCAAAAAGTAATCGTGTCCAATTTCATTAAATAAATTTGTATTTTCAGATTTCGTGGGCGGCTCAATTCCATTTTACCGTTTTCAATTACTCTTGGTACATTAATCATTTTCACATCGGATATGTTTCTATCATTTTTCAAAATTGCTTCAATATCTCTCGTTATACTGACGCTGTTTTTGTGTACATACACATTCTTCCCGGATACTCCACGCCAGCTTTATAAAATTCGCCGAAAGGAGGTAATTTTGAATATTTTTTGGTGAAAATAAAATATAAAGTTGAGAAGAACTTTTTTTCACAGCAAGCCATTCAATCACTTCAAATCTATCGCGATATCAGAGATCTGGAATTTCAAACTGATGACTGCTATCTGATAGAAGTGAAGAAACTTCGACGTATTTTGAAAAAGGAAAGAGGTTGCACCTTCGAGAAAAGTATGTTATTTTGTCCGGTGTTTTGAATTTCCATTCACACGTTATCGTTTTTAGACGGAAGAGCTACAACAAAATCATTCATAATAAGCATTGCCTTAATTATGTTGAACGTATATGTAAATTGGTTTGTACAATTCCATCTAACGTGGCATCCATTGTTAGACACTAAAATATTAGGTGTTGGAACTTTTCGCATTGTAATTGCAGCTTGTCAATTATCAGGTTCTTTGCTTTGCTTATTGCTTGTTGATTTCATTGAAAGAAAGGTAAGTTCTCAACAGTTCACCCAAATTTTACCGATAAATTCATTTTTGAATGATTTTCAGCTTTTATTATTGGTATCAATTTTTGGAATCACATTATCTCACATAATTTATGTGATTTTTGTTAACTCAAGAGATCAGACTACGTTGCCCATTCTTTTCGTTGCAATAGCTGCATTCAGTCTACACTTTGGAGTGTATCCACTAACATTTGTACTCATTCCAGAAATAATCCAAGAAAAAGTATAGAAACGACATTTATTTAAACAAGAGACCTTAATGAGATATTTTTTCATTTCAGATTCGAATATATGGAATCACTTTTATGTCCTGTTTGATGTGGTTGCTGATGCTTTCTTTTTCATGCGTAGAATGGACTATTTTCAACCTATTAAACAATGACACTTACGTCGGTTTGATCATTCCAATTATATTCAACATAATTTGTTTTGTAATATTTTCGATCTATGTGCCGCCAACGAAGAAGAAATCTTACCACGAAATATTTACCCATTTGAATTTGGGGGTGGAATAATTTTGCGCTGACTAAAAAATTGCAAATGTAAAAATTCATTTAATTTAACTGGCTGCATTTAGTTAAAACATAATTTATTGAGAAAGTTTGCAATAAATTTGACGAAAGAATTTTTTATTTTACAAAATAAGGTGTGTAAATGATATAAAAAAGATACTTTCGAATATTCGTTTGAAATTTATTTAGGTATTTTCCGTTCAATCATTTCCAATGACACTCTCTTCTTTGCTCCAGCCAATGCACTATACAATCCTTGACGGCCTTCTCCAAACATGGGCTTATAATTTGTTTGGAGATAAAATATACCTTCTACGCCCCTGAAAAACAAAGATAAAAATGTTTAAAATGAAATACCTCCCCGTCAATTCCACTTGAATTAACCTGCGATTGCCCGGCTCACCACCCATCTGCACAATATTATTTATCACAGAACAATTTCCCCGTCGAAAATTGGTAATTGAGTCACATTGAAATGCATTGAATTGTGGCAAATTTATACTTTCGACGTACAATTTCCATGCTCGTTGATGAGCACAAATTCCAAGCATGTCTAATGCACAACCTTATTTTTGTTTGAATAAAATGTTAAGGAGTTAACTTAGCGATTGAAATTATAAAAAACAATTATTATTATTAAAACCTGGTTGGTTTCTGCCGCCATTTGGGTAAAAATTTGCTTTTCCAAGTGGCTCAGTGTGGCCCAGTAGGCCAGAACACGTGAATATAGTTTCAACGTACAACGCATCTGTGTCGGCGAGGCGATTTTCAACATCATCAGACTTGAAACATGGTTCAGCTGGATCTAAGCCGACTATCTTGCCCACTTTTCTGATTGTATTTTTTCCAGCTGCAAAATTTAAATTAAAAATTGATCCCATCAAGTTTGTTTTTGGTAATTTGTACTCCTAAAACTTACCTATTCCAGAAATATGTGCACCCAGTGAATGTCCAATTATACATAAATCCGATATAGTCATCCATAATTTATTCGACATAAAATTAATAAATCCAGCAAGATGTTCTCCTACTGTATTGACAAGCTGACGAGAACAGAAATAGTTGAAGTCATTCGATCCTTTCATCCAGTTCACCGCGATGAAATTGACTTTATGTTTTCCGTTTACAAAATATGCGTCTGCAAATTTTGATATTAACTCAGCACCAGTAGAGCCCCAGCCATGGACTAATATTCTTGTTGGAATTGTCTTATCAAAATTTGAATTTTTCACTAATTCAACATCATCTAATTTTAATATTTGTGGTTCTGTTGGATTTTTTGGCGTATATAGTTCGAAAAGTACATCTCTTATTGCCAAAAATGATGGACATGGCATATTTCCCTCATTCCCTGAATTGAATAAATTTCTTGTAAATGTTACACTATTATGGTCGAGAAATGGCATTGATGGTGGTGGCAGAGGTACCTCCAATTCAGCCCAGATCTCAGCATAGCTTACCGAAAATTGCGCTAAATATGAGAAAATCAATGAAATTGAAAAATGGATCACCAATCTTGATTATATTTTATTATTTATATTTGTAAACATTTTAATTCACATTTTCAATTACCGAGAGCCATTAAACAAAAAACAATTTTTGACATTTTGATTAAACCAATAGATATTGAATAATATGTTATGGATATGAGCAAATATTTTGCATCCAAATGAGGTGTTATTTGTTATTAAATTCTAAATGTACCAAAAATGATTGAAATTAATACCACGCCGTAACCAAATTTTATACAAATTGATCAGTCGAAAAAAATGACAACAAAAACATCACATATAAAATATATAAATTAAATTACAGACTCTTATCTATGACGAGAATTCATATTATTTTCAACCGTTTATTAATTTATTCACCGTCGGATCATTGACTGAATTTATCACAAAAAATTTTACAATGTCGTTCACAATGAAACTCCTCATCGGATACACAAACGCCAGTATTTCCGACTTTGAACCAAGAGATATCGTTTGAGATATCCAACGGTCATGACCGGACATCGCCCGAATATAAGTATAATAATTAAATGAAATTAAATTTTTAATATACCCAAAATATGTCAGATTTACTAATTTTTTTTTTCAATATCAAAAAAGTAAAAGCGTAGGAATTATGTAATAATTATGCACTTTTCAAAAAAATATATAGGTTTCTCAACTTATTTTCACATTAGTGCATATATTCATTTTTCGATGGAAAATTGATATAATTCGTTATTGAACCAATAGTTCCATAATTATGTACTCTCCTAAAATCCTACCACAAAACATTTTCCCATTTCAATTTTGAAGTTGAATAACATTGTACAGAGCTAAATTTAACCAAAATCGGGTGAACCCAATGTTTATATTTTACAAATGCCCAATGCTTTAAACGTAATAAATAAAAGAACACATAATGCTTGAATGAAAAGGCTTAGTAATTAAAAGTGTGAATATTTTTAAATAGAATAATATATATTTTTTATGTAGGAAAGTTAAATATTTAAATTGAATAGTTTTTCGCCGCTGACATTGTGCACCATCTATTGGTAAAAAAAATCATTTGAATAGATTAATGTTCATTGTGACAGGACAACTTCACTCCAGTTCTTATTTGAATATATTTAATTCTGGAAATATGTGCGAAACGAAGAATAGAAGTCTATTCACTGTATAAAATGAAGGTGTTTTAAATAAAAACTCTTTGCTGGGAAAATTCAACTCTATACACTGAATAATAATAATTCAATTCGATATACTTTTTGGTCGTTTTGGACATTAACCGAAAATACATAATCTTCAAACCTCCTCCACTTTGGAATGCTTTGAATGCTTCATGCAATTGCTCCATCTTCTGTTCAATCGATACACCAAAATCGAAAGGAAATAACATGATTTCCCAAATTAAGAGTTGGCACAAATACTCTTATTGAAATAATGCTAAATTATAAACTGCATACAACGCCACATCGTCCGAGTAATCATCTTTGGTGTCAATAAATTTCATAATATCAAATATGAATAAACAAGAAGACTCTATACTTCGATAGAAGAAATTATCATTTTTATTTCTCTTTTCTTTAAAATAACACAATAAAAAGGTAATAAATAATTTTAACTACTGCGAATAAGTATTGTAAGTGGATGAAAATCAGTGCTCATTTCATTTAAATTAAAATATTAGGCCAGCAAATAATATACCCATCATTTCGGCTAACACCACCAACAATGTGGTCGCAACTATATTTTCCCCCCATCTTAACAGTTCAAATTTCGACATTAATTTGAGGTGGTTGATCCACGCTGAATCGAAAATTATTTCAAAAAATTTTCTAAACGGTTGAATTGAGATGAAAGCCCAAGCTCCTCTTAAAATACCAAAAAAGTTTCTGCGAATGTTATTTATTATGATATCAACTATGTTGTGTCCCACATTATTTCGAATGGTAACATCGGCTCCACTTTCTATTAAAACTTTAGCTGCATCAGCATAGCCTGGAAAACATGATTTTTTTAGTTTTCAATTTCACTTTGTCAATTTTTGATTCAGAAATTACTTTTATCAACTGCTAGAAGAAGTGGTGTGGATCCATCTTTTGCTTTGTAATTTACTTTGGCACCTTTCTCAATCAGAAATTTCACCATATCGTCATGACCTAAACAATAAAATATATTGTATTCTTTTTTTGTCCAAATATTCGCATCTTTTTTTGAATTACCAGTTAAACTGGATATATGAAGGGGTGTGTGCCCCGCAAAGTCCACAGCATTAATGTTGGCACCATTCTCAATCAAAAGTTGTGCCACTCTCATATTTCCTAGGAAAATTTTATAAATTTAGATTTTTCCCCATGTAGACTCAAAAATGGCGTAGATCACATACCTTTTTGAGCTGCACTATGCAGTGGTGTTGCACCAAAATAATCAACATCATTGACGTTTGCACCATCGTTAATTAAGTTCATTACTGCTTTCTCGTCACCTGAACAAATGCAATTAGATTATGTGATGATGAAAAAAATTATTGATTGTTTGAAAAAATTACCCGCTAAAACGGCGGAAAGAAGTTGTGTTGGAAAACTGACTGTTACATTTTCACCACTAAGACCTAGAAAACAAGGAGAAATTGTACACAATTAACATTGATTGTGAAAAGATTGAAAAGGTTGTTGATCGTCGTTATGAACTAACCAGCAAAAACTGCACTGAAACACACAGAAAAAAGTATGAAAACCTTCATCGTTTCGATTGAATTTTGTGTAAAAAAAATGTTTTGCGATTTTTTGAAATAATAATTGAAATTCGAGCAATACCGACTCGCTTTATGAAATTTTGTGCGAAACTTTATTATTGATTGCGATGTAAACACTGTGAAAAATTGAATAAGACTGACTTTGATGTAAAATAAAAGAAGTGTAGATGGCAAATTTCAAGATATAGACGTAGACCTATTAGTCGTTAATGGACTATTCTCAAATGTGATAAATTATTTCATTTCAAATGGATAATTCAATTGAATGACATATTCTTCTACCTGTCGATTCATGATCAAAATATAATACAAAACTAATAGCCCAAACGCTTCATTTCTTTTGTACTGAATTACTATTTGCAGTCCATCGATGGATCTCTACAAAATGTTGCAAAACTGAATAACGAGTTCTGTTAATTTGATTTTTTCAGATGCAAGAATTCTATCCAATGCGACATTTGAATTCGATGGATAACGCAAAAAAAGAACGTTGTGTGAAAAAGACGTAATCATTGCTGGTATGAAAGTCAAATTTGAGACGTATTTTTCATAATAGCCACTCTTTTTTAAAAATCTAATTGACCCAACGTTTAATTAGTGGCTATTTGTCCGTAGCATGGTTCCATATTCATTTAAATTGACTTGTCCGTCCATCTGTTTTTCCTTCTTCTGCTGTCTACAAACAAAAATGCGTACGATTTTAATTTAGTTAATATTAAATAAAATACAAAATATGAAATGTTTTGCTATTTTAACAGTGTCGTTTCCATTTTTTTGTTACATTTTGAATGTTATATATTTATGCGCGCTACATAAAACCATGTAGTTTGTATGCTAATTTGTCTGGAAGCAGTGGTTGTCTCGAATCGTTTAATCTTTTGTTTATTTTCGGTGAACAATGGTCGACAATCTTTCGCATGAGGTTTTCCATTCATAATAATAATTTTAATGTAAAATTGCATTGCAAATGATTACTATGCGTACGCATTTGACTTCAAAAATCGCAACTACTTCATTTGCCATTTTGAATTTCGTTAGATGAAAACGGAGCAGGTAATTTTATTATACAGAAGTGGTCTTTGTTGCTTGAAATTTGCATAAATTTGGAATGTGAGTACAAAACGGTTGTACTCGGGTTAAGGTTGTAATAATTTACCATGTTTCATTCTAACAATTTCCATTATCTCTGTCGAAAAAAAAAATTAAATGCTAACATAAAAATCTATGGGCGAATGGCCAATTTATTTTCAAACTACCAGAGAAGAAAAAAAAAATCAAACTCAAGCTGTTCGTCAGCCCGGTTAAAATTCAAAATCGAAGTCAAAGCAATTAAGTTGAAAGGTGAGAAGCGTTTGAAAGGATTTATTCTCGCTTGATTGCGTGTGGGAATACGGAATACTTGAAACCGGAATCTTCGTTACGTTTTCTGGTTGAACAATGAACATTCATTATTATCCAATCCAATGCAACTCGTTACGCCTTGTTATGCTGAATTCCTTACGTTCGAATTGCTATTTTCTCCTGCCAATCTCTTTCGCCATTCTTCTTCCATTTCACGTTTTTTTTTCGTTTCTGTTTGATTGTTTGTTGTTGTTGGTGCTACTGGCACTGAACGCCTTTCTTTCAATTCCGTTTAGCAACCATTCAAATTATGCCGCTCGTATTCATTTCACCAAAGTTGAAACATTCCGACAACACACCATTCCAAATTTTCTGCACATATATCAAACATGGTTACCATTTTCCGTATAAACGTGCATACTTTCTGGTAGAATGTAAATATTCGCTTACTCTTTTGCTTTATGTGTATCGCATATCATTTTGATACACATTCACAGCAAATTTAATCCTTATCCCATCTGCTTTTGTGCAGCAACCGAATTTTCGAATCAAATAGACAACACACATACACACGCTTCGAACTCAACTTTGCATACTTGCTTACATATTTTACTTGATTTAAAGCATCCCATTAAACCAGTTTTAATCTGTTTTCGTGTTTAAGATGGCCATAAATATTTCAAAAGTCGACAATTTAACAGATTCACTTGATTTATAACAATAAATTAGAATAATTTTCTATGCACATACACACATACTTACGCTTACTACTATTTCGACGAATTGCTGATACTAACTTATAGCGGCTCTCATTTCTTCTTCTTTTTCGTCTTTGGTATATAACCAATACGCAACATTGTTAAGAAAGGAATTTTCACTGATCATTCCGACTTTATTTCGGTAGCCAGTTTTGAATGTTTTGACTTTTAATGTAATCGGTACCTTTTTTTACTTACTGCAAAAATTTAACTCTTTACCAAGTCACAATTAGTTTCTAGTCCAGTTCAGCCTCATATTTTATATAACTTTTAAGCAGCAAACACACATTTCGAGATAATAATAGACTGACCCAAAAAAAATAGTTTTTTATATTGAAATGCCCCATGCGCATTGACAATATAATCAAACATAACATGTTTGGCATTTTTGTATCATCCAATAGTCGATCGGGATTTTTTGGCACGAGAAAATCAAATCTGCTTTCGATACAAATAATTTTCGACACGTGGTAAGAAAAAAAGATTCACATGTCTTGTACTGCAATTTTGTATCAAATCAATTTCGAATCACCAAATCCGGATCTCACTTTTTTCTTGGGTCGGTCTAGTACGTATTTGAAACATCGATATGAATATTATATCCCAATTGCAAAATTGAAGACCTCACAAACGTGAGGAAATTCATCAACGACATATATTTTATACTAGATTTAATAGATTTTAGAGTGCATAATTCCGAAATTGTACAAAGTACATTGATTTACACAAAACGATACATTCACAAATTCATTTGATCAATGGAAAGGAACAATTTTAAATAAAATTTAATCCAAGAGAGATTTTCTTCATATAACGAATTCACTGAAAGCCGGTTGTTTTAAAATGGTAACGCCAACAATTCGGAAGAAGAGAAAAGTGTCGATTTTTCGGGTGAAAGCAAACAAAATCATAAAGTGGAAAAATATATCTGTGTGTTATTTCATGTGTATAAAAAAAGGAGCGGTAAATAAACGATACCCTTGACATAATCAACAATGCGTCCTCTACGACGTTAGTGTGCAGTAATTAAATGTTAAACCCTTCTGCATGCATGCGTTGCGTATCATTCTCTCTCGCGTTAATGTTAGATTCCCCAGGTATGCATACAAAATGCCCATCACGCAATCTGTATAAATCACATGAGTGCGCTTACGTTCGTACAGAAAAAAAATCATACAAGTACTGGACTGAGCGAGTTGCACATCCACACGCTTGACCATCAATTTTGAACTTCGCTTTAAGCATGCATTTTAAAATAAAATATTGTTGATTTGAAAAATGGAAAAAATTAAAGAAATCGACATTTTCCAGTGTTCATTGTTTGCAATGAAGAATTTCCAGCGGATTTGCGTGTGAAAAATTTGCATATAAATAATTTTCAAACATGAAATAGGCCATCAGATAATGTTGATAAAACAATTCATTTCGCTTTTCCTAACACACTGTCTTATTTTCCTAATGGAAATTAAATAATGCACTCTCAAGGGTCATTAATTAAAATTTTATGGACATTTTCATTTTGCAATACGACGAATAAAACCAACATCGCCACCACCAACAGTCAGCAATTGCATTTAGCAAGTTTATTTTATAGTCACAATCGTTTGTATTGCATATATGATGGTACGGTCATTTGATGATTCACATTCAAACGCTCCTCAGTCCTCACGTTGTTGTCAATTTAATCAATCAATAAATGACGACGATGTTACAACATACATATCATTAAATCGTTTGGGTTTCATTTTATAATGACATTTTTTTTGCAAACGATGGAACAAGGTAAAGAAAAATAAACCAGGATATTGATGGCAGAAACGAGAAACTGTCACTTGTTTATCGAATCATTAGCGATGAAATAAAAATTAATCGTAAAGTTTATCGGTTTTTTTTGCTGCTCTCGACCGCAATTAAATGGAACGGTTCACTTTTGTTTATATTGGGAATATAGATTTGCCGGCATTTATCAAATGCTTAAAGCCCAAACCCTCATTTTAGATATCTGATATCCATTCCAATCACCGTATATAAACCGAATGGACTGAACGAAATCGCGTGACCAAATAATTTTTTTTTTCGGCTGTTATTATCGGTGACAAATAGATAAGTTTGTTGTGTCAATTGAACACACATCAAACCATTTTGTGTGTGGTCGTTCAGAGTTGGAAAAACCTTTTTTTGAAGATGGCAATATCCGAAAAAGCGTAGCAATTCGAAAAGTTTGGACAGCAATGGACCACTCAGCACTGTTCATTGAACTGGTTTTTATTTTTCAAATAAAATATTTATGCTGTCGTGGCTGGGGAGAGTTCATGCCAAAAATTCTATCTATCGTTTGGCCGAAGAAAAACAAAGTTTTCCGTTGTCGTTAAAGCAGTGAACGAAATACTTAATGTGGAATCGAATAAAAATAAGATATATTTTGATGAGAATGGAAATCGAAATTGGAAAGGTAGACTAAATGAAATGCGATTGGTGAATACAATTTGTTGCTACATTTTATATATCGAACCGGCTATATCGTTAAATCCCAATTGAGATATTAATTTGGTTCAATTGACAAATAAATGTCGTCCACACGACACAACCTTTTTTTTATCCACGTTTCAATGAAACGATATGCGCGATTCGTATACGTAAATCCATTTGACATTTTCTGTTTTGCCATTCATGTTACATTCATGAGTTCAGATTATATCGCATTGACTTCCATGAGCCTGTTTGCTTTTACCTCTTTCTCTCTCTCTCTCTCTCTCTCTCTCTCTCTCTCTCTCTCCCTCTTTCTTTGAGTGTGTGCCATTTTTTCAAAAATCGAAATTTTCCAAACCCATACTCGGTTATTCACCTTGTGAGAAACACACACATTCAACCAATCTCGTTCAATTCATTTCAAAACTATTCAAATGTGATAAT